TGATGCTCTCAATCAATATGCCATGGCAGAAGGTCTAGCGGAGGCACTAGTGGTATGTGAACATATATTCTTTATGCTTCTTATTTCATTATTAAGATGTGAATTAAATCATAAAAAATTAAAAATAAATAAATAAATAACAATTTGAACTCTCACTCTAATCAGATGTATCCAAGGCCTTCAAAAGAATACTACTACCATGGAAAAAGGCATTGCATTCTCGTGGCTGCGGGTGAACCCGTTCCTATGAAAATGTTAGTGTCTGTGCCCAAGATTCGAGATGGCAAACTTTATGACACAGGATTACATTCTTTAAAGTCTGATTTTCTTGATGTGGCACAAATGTTTATCCCGGTAATTTATTGGAACATTGTTCTTACTTCTATTGCCTAATCACAAATAACCTTCTATTCATTTTGACTTATCTTCTTATTACCACATGCAGCTTGATGTATCATTTTCGGTGATAACTCCTAATCAACATCCAATTTTTGGAGTTATATTTAGTCTGGTAAAAATTTATCTCTCATGTATATAACATCCTTCCACTAATATCTTATTTGTTGGTCCAAAACATGGTCACAAAGTGTCTAATAATTTATTAATATAATAAACCATACAGAAGGTGTTAATTGATTTTGATATATATATTTGTCTAAGATGTTATGCATTTGAATAAAGATTAATCCCATTAAAACTCTAGTTTTCCAATGAAAGACTGGTTGTCTTACAAGTTAAGAGTAGCATATAACTTTTTTTTCCTTGTTTGTGAAGGGGAATAATATTAATGGACTGGAAGATACTCCCATCTCCAATTACAAAGTTGGTGAGTTTACTGTTATGTTGTCGAGAAACTTTAAGGAGGCACGCAATGCTCTTCGTGGGAAAAGAAGTGTACAACCAACAAGGACAACAACTGATGATATTACTGTACGCGTGTAATCATTTTTTTAATTTAATTTAATTTGGTGGAATAACTAGAGTTTTTCTTTTCCCTTTTATTTTTGAGGAGTTTTTACAATAATTTATTTATGGATCCTTTTTTTCTCATATTACAGGAATTTAAAATTCTCTTGCAAACTATGTACTACAGGAAGTACATAGTTATAATATAAGAAAAAATTAATTTTTAATATTATAACTTTATATTTTCTGGAATATGCAAGAGAACATCAAATTTTTATAACATGAGAGCCTATTATCTCTTTATTTATTTATCTATTTTTCATTTGCTTTATATTCAACATGAAATACATTATCCCAAATTCTACGAATCAGACACATGTTTCTTCAAGGAAGGCGTATGATGATTTGGAAGCTATGCTCACTTGTGATGATGTAGACCAAACAATTTCCGTGGAACACATTAGAGCATTTGAAGCTGGATTAGAACATGTAGTGAGTGATACTGATTTGATAAGGAATTCATTAAACACTTCCAATAATAGAATGGGGTTTTCAGAAGGACAACCTCAGCAACAAAGTGCCAATACGGGTATGATGAGCACAACAATTCAATCAGGGAATGTTAACGAATGGGATCCTCAAATAGCACATGGTGTTTTATTTGGAGATTCCATGTTTCCTAATGTGATGGGGGATTCAGTCAATATTCAGTTTCAACCATACTCATCAACATGCCTCCCAATGTTTCCTGATGCTAGTACTAGTAGTCCTAGTCAACATGTTGGAGGACCAAGTGGAAGCTCTTCAGAGCAAACCACGGATTTTGATAAATATGTGCAGATATGGGAGGTAGGTAGGTAAATTTTTCTAGTTTCAATATTTGATAAAACACCATATTGCGTAACGAATAAATCTTTGGTACTACTGCTGTATCTAGATTCAGTGCATCTTATTAATGAGAGCATTACACATCAGAGGAGAGAGAAAAAATCTGACAGAAAAAACAGAATTTTAACTAATATGTAATATTTATTTTTTTTGATAACAATATGTAATATTTTTATTAGTGGGATGTAGTGAATCTTTTGTACAGCAGTAGTACCAAAGGTTTTTTTGGTACATATATAGTACCAAAGATTTATTCCTCCATAACTACGTTTCTATATTGCTAGCATTAATTACATATCACTTTTGAATTATTTTTATATTATTTATTTGGGATTGATTTGTGTGGATGGCTCATTTACTTGTAAAGAATTTTCTTATTTTATGACTAAATAGCTAATATAACCATTTGAAAATTATATTTATGTAGATATTACACTAAGTATGACAGTACGACCAGTCATACTTAGTATAATTTGTAAAAAAAAATTGTATACCCCTATATATAATCAATATTATGTATGATTTTAAATTTAATGTTAGTTTAGTGGTGGACAAATATATAATATGATAAGAATAAGCTGTTGGTATGTTTTGAATTATATTGTGTTCGGATATGTATTATTTATCACGGTTAAATATGTAATTAGGTTAAAGACCAATTAGGTAGTCATAAATATATATTAGTTTCACATTAAATTTTATAATATCAATATGCTTACAAGTAATTAGTTTATAATAAATATTTCTCTTGTCTATTCAGGGAACTTTAGAAGCAATATTTCAACCAAATCGCATATACTCTTGTAGAGCAACGGTATGATAGAATCAATGTGCAGAAGGATTTTTCTTGAGTAGAACTTTAATTTGTTAGATAAGATCAAAATGACTTCTATTCCTATTTTTCAGAAACTTGTTATGACAATTTTTCTCTATCTCCGTTGAAACAGGCCTACAGGAGAGCAACAACACCCCTCACGTAAGAAGATCCTCCATTTCTAATTTTAAATTTTTTAATAAAATTAATGCAACTTGGTGTTACATTTCTCAAACCAATATCCCTAATTATTATTTATTTCTCTCTTATAGCCAATAATATGAAGTTTAAATTTTGGGCTATTAGTAAAAGTTTTAGTCACCCTAAATGCTAATTAATGAGCCTTGTCTAACAATTAAAGCATGCATGAGCAAACATTTTTAGAAGATAAAACCCTTTCCAACAAAATATTAATCTCAAAATTTTCAATTTCTTATAAAGATTCAATTAATATGTAAACTCAGAACTTATAAGTCAACAAAACATGGTATTTAAAACAAGTATAATTAATATGTAAACTCACTATTGTCAACTTTTATTCGTCTTTGCAGGTTAAATTCTGTGTGGAAGAGTAAGTTGGAGATAAATCACTTCATACCACAAAAGGCTGTAGACCATACAAAGAAGTAATTTTAATGACACAATACTTAATGTTTTATTTAATATTATTATTTGATGATATTACTTGTATTCTAATAACATTTAATTAAATGCAGCATTTCCCATGTTCAGGCAGATGATTTGCTCTTCCAGATAGTTCAACATGAAAATAATAATTTGCACCTACATATGGTCAACAGAAATTCGGTAAGATATATATATAACCTTCCCATGTGTGAAAAGGGTTATATTGACAAAAAAAAAAAATTTAATAAATTTACAAACTACACTATGTCTCAGTATGTCTTACCGGTAAGACTTCACTCAAGATTGTTTTACCGGTAAGACATAATATAATTTATAAGAGTTTGTAAACAAAAATTTGTAAATATAACCTTCTCATATATATATAAGGAGAGAATCATTTTACACTAATATAAGTTACACTCTCAATCTTGATCGTTGATCCTATTTATATCCAGCAGTTCTGATTTATTAGCTAGTGAGTCATTAAATAAAAGCAAATCAATGGCCATAATTTGGTGTAAGATTTCTTATTCTTACTCTGGTGTAAAAATAATTTTTCCCTTATATATATATAGGGGCAGGATCATCTTACACCAGTGTAAGAATAATAAGTCTTACGCTAAATCTTAACCATTGATTTTCTGCATCTAACGGTTATAATTTATTAGGTCTCACTCATTAATTAAATTTTAATTCCCAATAAATCTCAATTGTTAGATGCACGGAAATCAACGGTTAAGATTTGGTGTAAGATTTATTATTCTTACACCGGTGTAAGTTGATCCTATCCCATATATATATATATATATATATATTTAGTAGGATCCCAGGAGAGACATAGAATGCTACTGGTTTCTCTTTACATTTTTACTTTCCTTATACCATTTGTTGTTCTAACCGACATGCATGCTGATATGTGAACCAGTATATATATATACCTGCATATTGATGGTTCTTTTTTCTTTGAATATATATAAGAATCTTTCTGTTATATCTCTGTGCAGTGTGCAAAAATTTATCTGCCTTCACAGATATTGATCTTATCTCCAACCCAAACTGGATACTTCTACATTGGAACAGTTTTTCCTTCGGTAAGTATGATATCCAATATTATTTCCCATTATTACTATCTTTTCAACTTGTCTTTTAAACATTGAGCTACACTTGGGGAAACTTTCAGTACATGTTTCAATACATACAATTTGACTAATCAATAAATGACAGGATACGGTATTTGTAGAACCAGTCTAATCATGCATATGGCTCTCAAGAATAGCCAAAGTCATAGACAAAGAGCTGAAGGAGCTGTTAGAGGAGAGACCAATCTTAAAATCATGCTTCTCTTTGATTCTTTTAAGCTTTTGTAGGGTGAAATTGGAATAATTGCAAGATTGCTATGAGATAATAGCTCTTTGTGCACAGTGGTGAAATGACAAGTACAGAAGCTTCACAAAATGTGAATGAATTGTCCCTACTTTTTTGAACTCTGTATAAAAGTATTGGTTAACAATTTATTTACCATTCATTTCATACATGAGTAGTTTGTGTAAAGAAAATTTGTGTAACATCTTGATTCCAAAAACTTGTATTGTTTCATTTTTAAAATTTGACAATTGTTTTTGGAAACAACAACCAAAGACGCCCCATATGTATAACGTATCTAGACTAAATAATCTCATTCGTTAATGCAAATAAAAAATATGTTATAACCAAACCTTCGGGGGGAGGGGAATTCCCCATTAAGAAAGCGAGAGATAGAATAACATGTTTGAAATATCACTCCATTCAGTAAACATGAACAAATACAATGAAAACATCCAATTTTGAAAAAAAAAAAAAAACTAGCAAACTACCAACATTCATGATACAACATTAACCTAATCTCCAGGTTCCGTTTTGACAATCAGAACACTACTATACAATATAGATTCTCAACATATTTTTAAGGTCTATTTTTCCTCCCAAAAGAAAAGAAAAACAATTGCAGGAAAAGATGACCCCTAGTACAAGTAACTGCATCCAACCAAGCATGTAGCTCAGTGACTCTTGCAAGAAATAGCAGAAGTACTTCACCAAGTAAGAACTAACTAATTTAACCATGTATCTACCCACTAGCTGCAACTTGTCCTTTCCTCCTCGACCTTGCAACCCTTTTATTCCCTTGATGCTTTGGATTGGGATCCACAAGCAACAAGCGTGACATAACATATGACAAGAGTTCTTCACGGTGGGAGAAGGTAAAGTCCAAATGGGCATATTCAAACTCATTATATGAAACATCAACACCAGCACCCTTCATCAATTTATAGTGTCTCTTCACCATTGAAGGTCTTATCACTTTGTCCTTCTGTCCAGCAACAAGATCAACAGGAATGTCAATGAGGCCGTAGTATTCACCCAAGTCCAAAGGCACAGGTGAACCATACACCTCCATATTTGCGGATGCACTCCCATAATCAAACATTCTAAACTTTCCAGTATGCTTCATCTGTGCAAGATGGAGAGCAACACGAAAAGATACTCCTGGCATGTCATTCATGTTGTAGTGTGGTAATCCTAAAACTCCAACCCAATTCGAGCTGTCTCCACCAACAACATAACTCATTAAAGTTTGAACTAGTCCTCCAACTGCAGGTAGGTTATGCAGATCCCGGGCTAACTTGTTGACAAGCATACGAAAAAATCTGGTTGGTATATAGAAGGCTGGCACAAGAGGAGACAAAACAGGAGCCAGAGAAAATAATAGAAGCTCCACAGCAGAAAAAACTATGTTAGAGTCATCATGAAAACCGGCTGGTGATAATAAAACCAATCTTGAAAGTCTATGGGGCTTCTCTTCTATCCTTCGCGTAATAACATACATCATTATAGCAGCTCCTCCCAAACTATGGCAGATTGCACAAAGCTTGTAAAGCTGATCATCATTAGTTTCATCCTCAATATCAGGTTTACTAAGCCTCAATTCAGCAGTTTTTACTTCATGAATCTTCTCTATCATAGCAGGAATATCCTCAGTCCCGTGCTCATTGATGGAGTACCGCCAGTATCTGCATTATATCAATTCCTTTACATGAATAAAATAGATACAAAGCCAGATTTTATTAGACATCAAAACAGAAATTAGATAGTTTATTCAATAAGGGGTAATGAGGGAGATGGAAGGGGAAAGAATGACAAGGGAATGATTCCCCTTATTTGGTAGTAAATTTTTTTTCGAGGATGGAACAAACACTCATTTGTTGTTCCCTTCCAAATTGGGGGGTTAATGAGGGGGAAGAGCCTCTTTTTTATAAACTCTTCTTGTCATTTATTATTATACCCCATTAAAAGTTAGCTACTCATTTGTTGTGATAAAAGCTGTTCCATTTTCTCTAAAAATTTCCAAACATAATTTAGGAGATTTGCTTTGTGAACTTACTGACGTGATGAAATGTTCTTGTTGACATGTTCCCTAGAAACCAAACCACGAAAATTCCCCAGAAATACATCATACCCTGCAAATAAAACAAAATTCTACATGTAATAATTCCAAAAAATTGATGTTTGCGGAAGTAAAGACATTATCTTGACAAATATAACAAACCTTGATCATAGGCTGCAAAAGCTGGAGAGCCAACAACACCATTGGATACCCAACTGAACCCCAAAAACAAACATATATTAGAATATCATTATTATCTTGACCACATTTTTGGGGTTAAGAAGTAAATTTTAAAAAAATAAAAATAAAATAAAATAAAATTGAAACTAAAGTCCTAACATGATGGCCTAAAAAGAAAATTTCTGATATCCAAGTATCTGAACAGTGAGCATGATTTGATCAACAAACAAGTTTATGACCAAGATGGGACAAATGAAGGACAAAACACTACAAAGCATCAAGAGTAAACAAAAAGGGTAAATCCCATCAATACCTACATACCTTGACAATCGACACAAACAGTCCCACATTGAGTAAAGTTCATATGGTTTTGAGTCTGTCAAGGGGGACTCCCACTCCCTCATGTGAGACTTATTTTAAAAAACAAAACTGTAAAGCACAATTCTCACTGGGCTAAAGGAGAAAGTAACTCAGTGCACCCATTACTTTTGACAAAAAAACTCATGTTTGTCAGTTGTCACTTACCCTGTATGTGGGAACTACAGACCATATCACCCCCACCATACACCAGCTCGCATATCACAGAAATTCTGATAATAAGCATATAACACACCTATTATTCTTGTCTATTCCAAATTCCTAGCATATAAGACATATCCCTATCCCAAGCAATACTGCAATGCTAACCTTAATTTAAGTTGGTAAGCAAAAACCTCTCAACAAGTTGATCAGTTGTGAGTTCAGCATTCAAATATTCTAAATGTTCCGACCTTTGGTAAATAAAGCCAATCCCATTTACCAAACTGTTCTATCCTACTAATAGTTGTAATTCATGCAGCAGTTGACTTATATAAAGCTACTCAACCTACTCCAATACACTTTTATTCTAATGACATAACATCAACATCACCTTTATCCCAATATAGTTGGGGTCGATGGCAAATAAACCCAAATGAAAAATACGAAAAAAGTTGAAGGAAAAAAAAGGATGAAAAAAAACATTAAAAGGAACAAAAATAACTCCTGAAATGAAAACATAGATTTTCAAGCACAAACATAATGCGTAACTCTTTGAACTCATATAAGTAAAGTGACTCACAGAATCAAGTCAGAACCAAGCAATTGAGAGATAAATGACTCACCCCATTGATGAATCGAAAACCCCATGCTGAAGATAAACAGCTTTTCTTGAATCTCGCCTGTGAAGTCAGATTGCAGGCATTAGCCACTATATGCTGGAAAGAGACCACCTTGTTCTAGAAATTATAACGACATATTTAATCATCACTTTTCACACAACATTTTTTCACATTGTTATCCATTTATGAAAATTAACTATATTCAGAATGATAACATTATGATACATTCTCCTGGGTTTCCTCCAGATCTAGGCATATGATATTTACAATCTCTCATGAATTGCTTACTTCTGTCGTGAATGAGCTACAACTTTGTAAGGAAATATGACTAACTGAAAAAGACACATTCCCAAACATAATAATTTTATTTTACACATCTGATGTAATTCAGTCCAGACAATGATAGAACAGTTGGGATATCAAATATGCCAATTAGCATCATGAATGATGCATCCATTTCTGACTTCTTTAGTGATTTAAATAGACACCAGATCTGATGCATTTAATTTTAACTTGTAGGATCAAAATAAGTACAAAACTCAAAAGGGGTAGATCATTAAATTTATGGAGATCCATGCAATTTCCTCAAAGATGAACATTTTACCTAGGTATTCTTTCCAAAAGAAGAATATATCCATCAGCAGTGATCACATGAATAGCTTCATATGGATACCTGTTGCAGGTAGGAGAAACCGTGAAGCAGACAAGCAAGATTTCAAACAAAAAGAACAAATGTAAAGGAAGCTATGTGATAGCCATTACCCAAGATCTGTTATGACATCCTGACATGTCCGGGCATCTGTATTCAGAGACTGGTAGTTGGTTTTCCTCTCTGTAGGTGTTGGGTCATTTTCTCCAACTGTAGCTGTAGAAATGGAGGCATCCACAACATCATCACTATCTTCTTTGATGCCACTTTCATGAGATGAAAACAACCCGAATAATTTCCCAAAAGCTTCTGTTGGAGAAAGAAGAAGATGTGCTGCCTTGTGAAAAACATCAAAGACAGCTTCAATACATATCTCAATGCCTAGATGAAGATCCTGATTGACAAAATAAACTTGGTCATCAACACCACAGTTGCATTCACATGAAATATATCTAAAAAAATAAGTAAACACAATACAAACTAATATCTAAAGAAATCGTTGCACAACCTCTACAACTCCTCTTCTCCTATCGGTAGCACGGTGGATAATGTGGTCCTTGAGGCTTTGCACCCTCTTATGTGTATTTAAACGTGAAGGGTGTGTCTGTCCAGAGACAGACAGGGCTTTTGACACCCCAGAATAAGCTAACAGGAAAAGACGAAGTGGAATTCCCAGCACAAACTTTACAGGAAACAAAATCCAAAGTAAGATATACTGGACCCAATCCATCCTATGCCTACTGTACTTGGTAAAACCAGCTTCAGAGGCTCTAGAACTTTGAGATGCAGGAGATGCGGGAGTATCATATCTACTATCACTATCTTCTTCTCCGGATGAGTATTCAGGGCTTGAATTATCAGAATCCACAGAAAGTTCATGGATGAACTGGTTGAAAGAGGACACGCCACTAGGAAAAAGAAAACAAAATTCAAACAAGGACAACAAAACCACATCATTAAGCTGTAAAGATAGGCACCCATAAAATATGAGATAGAATGCACAGTACAAACTCTGAACTTTCAAAGAATCAGAAAAACCAACTGTTTGAAAGAAAAAAAAGACAGTAAAGTATAAGGATGCCAAATAAAGAATAATAAAAATACATAGTCTAAACTATTTACGATTTTTTTTATATTTATAAAATAAAAATAAGTCTGATAGACTCAAATATCTAACTGAAAATATAACTCAGAAAATTATACTAGCTTTTTTTCCTAATATAGTAATTCCTTGGCATCAATTACCTTCTAGTTTACTTTGACTTCATTCTCAGCTAATGATCTGGCTCCACTTTCTGTCTTAATTTATTCTTTCTTTAATCTTCATTTATTTATTCTTCTTTCTTCTCCCTATCTGGCTTTAAAACATTGTATCCTTGATTCAGAAAATATAAAGCCTATGTCATTCCTTTCGAAATTTGACTTACTCAACTCTATAAGTCCTTGCATCTTTCATTCTTTCCTACACTTTTTAGTAACCATGTGCTATATAGGCAGCAACCTGCGCGACAGGCAGATGAAGGACATGCATCCAAAAGCACCACACCAGAATCATGGGGAGGTGAAAGCATGAAACCTAAGTCCACGCAGAGGTGCACCTTGAATATATTACCATTGGTGTATGCAACCGCGTGATAAATGGCACTCAGAAAACAACCTATAATAGAAACTATAATGTTGGAAAGAACATTAAGAAAAGGCTTCTAATAATTGAAATAGAACTAGTGGCTCTTAGCAAATAAACAATGATACTCTTACTCCACAAGAATGGCATATTAGTGACGATAAGAATTGTCTGAGTTTGGACACAGCAATAAATTCAACTGCATAAAATCAACTAAATAATACACTAATACTACGAAAATAAATATTAGATATATAGCTTTGTATCTTACTGTATTGTACCTTTATCCAATGTACCTGCATGTATCTGATAATTTCCTTTCAGTTAGTTACGATTCTGTTTTGGCTTACTGTATATATATATTAGGATGCCTTGTATCTCAACATAATAATAATACAATCTCAGATATTCAGTTCTCTCTCTCTCTCTCTCTCTCTCTCTCTCTCTCATCTATGGCTTCTACACAGTATTCGAATAATAAAGAAAAATTTCACAGAGAAACGACCAATGTCATAGTGAAAACTTACTTCTCCATCCAACGCGGAAATCGCGGTCCCCGGAAAGTTGGCCTGAGTTCCCAACCATGAATACCTTCAAGTATATTAGCTTTCCCAGGTAGCAATGCCAACAAAAGGGCTGATACACCATTGATTAGCCTCACAATATTATTCAAGGACTCATAAGTAACTGTCTTCACCGACCTGCACTAAGAAACCACATGCAAATGCTCATCCTCTGTCAAATATGCAATTGATAAAGACATTGATATAGGATATCCCACGGCTCTCAAACATAAATGCGTAAATAAATTTCACCACTTCCATCAAACTGAAAAGTGTTAAGATTCCAAAATTCATTGCCACTGAAAGGTCTTTTCATTTGACCAACACCTTAAAGCTATAAAAAAGGCAACCTTACCAACAAAAGTAACAAAATTAAACAGAATTTCTTTTCCCCACATCTTTTGATTAGGAATAAAATTACACCCAAATAGAAAAAAGAAGAATGCTTAAACATTGCTCTGATAGCATGGAAGTATAACTGAAGCAAAATAACCTAACTCAATCCAATCAACAAATGATACCCATTGAACAGTAAAATAATACCAAACGACCAATTTCCAGAATTAGCATAATTACAAGGATTAAAATCCAAAATAAATAAATAATTACAGCCATGGCAACTAGTAAAAAGAAAAACCATAACCAAACAGAAACTATTCCAAAACAACAAAGAAAAACACGTTCTTATCATGGAATCATATCCTCAAGACCGTCATAATCTAATTAACCTCCACAAAAAACAAAACAAAAAATAAAATAAAAAAATACAGACACCTCATTTCATTTGAGAGATAGAAATTCAACTAACATGATAAAACCCCACATAGAAAAATCACATGGCCTTACTCTTTAACGACAGCGAGAACGTTATCAACCAACCGTTGCATCATGGGGTTCTTCTTTTTCTTCCAAATTTCGGGTCTTTCTTCAAACCTCTCCAAATCCAAGCACTTAATAACAAATCCAAATACATATATATGAAAAAACACGAAAATTGGTGATACCCAGAATCGAATTAAAACTAAACACAACGAAATAGAAGCAGAAATCGGAAATAGAAGTTCATAGATTTTTTAAAAAAAAAATCAGTGACTGACCGGTAATCCCACGAAAGGCTGAAAAAAATGAAATAAATAAATAAATAAAGCAGACAAGAAACTTTGCCTGAGTCGGTGGTTTATGTTTGGAATCTACGTGGAACAATTTGATTGGTGAAAAATCTTATGTGTCACTTTTCTGCTACGGTTTTGTGTTGCTGTGGATCACGATTACACGTAACGTGTGGGACCCGAGGATTTATGTGCTGCTGCTATATTCGCCTTCTTTTTTTAGGAGAATCTGAACTGTTTATTGAGGTAGATTCAGAATACGATGAACGGTTAGGATTGAAGGATACTTTTTGGTGATTACACGTGGAGCACTTAATTATCTCTTACTTGAAAGAAGGAGCACGCTATGGAACCGGGAAATCTAAGCCTTTAAATTTGACTGAAAAAAGTAAATGCCTTTTCTAGTTTTACACGTTTTTTTATAAATAGAATGTTATAATAAAATAAATGAACACATTTTATTCTGAAATTTCCTTTTTTAAAAAAAAGAATGAACGAAATGGTATTTTTTCTCAGTAGATTAATTCAAAAATAAACATATATCTTATTTCGTTATTTTTTTAGAAATTTACCTCGCTTTTATATTTTGTATTATTTTTTATGGTTTACTTATTTATTTATTGGTATTCAACAAAAGTGGAACAAAAAATTATTTTAGATCAAAGGTTAAATACGTACGGAATGGACGGAAATTAAAACATGGAGTCAATTTTGCATGCGGTGAACGGTGAAGTGGTGTGTGTTTGTTGGGCAAAAAGTCTCATTTTGTTTTACCTAAGAAAATATTAATCATATGTTTCGCAAAGTGCTTAGCATTAAAATAACGTTTTTATGATGGGAAATCCGATAAGAGACGTGATGGACGGAGTTTTGAATCAATATTGCTTGCTTCTCTCTAGGAACTTCCAACCAATGCTCCCAAAATTGGACCCCCGAGTCTATCCAAAAACCAATGAATTGGTTATATAACTAGTTAAGTTTTTATTTTTATCCAGTCGTGTAATGGAATCGGTGTGACCTATACAGTCTAAAACAAATAGTTTATTCTCATCAATTGATATCTTTTTTTTCACTTTTAAACACAAATAATTTATTTTCTTTTGAAATATTTGAATTATTTGTTACTTATAATTGAGTTACATAGGTTCTGTACCTATAATATTAATTATTATCTTGATTATGTAATATGTAACGAATTTTGATTTGATTTATAATTAGAAATATTGTCTACTGAACTTGAAGACCAGTATCACAAGTATTATATATTTAATTGATCTTTTGTTGGATAATTATGTATAATTTATTATTTTTATATTAAAATATCTGGAATTGGTATTTTTTTTTACAAATATTTGAATATATTTATAGTTTTTTAATATAAATTATATATTTACATATACTTCTCGGATCATGCAATTGAATCAGTAATATATAAGATGAACCAATAACTCAGTACCTCGATCCGGTTATAATTGCGCTAGATTTGATATCATTTCTTTCATTATAACAAATGGTGAGTTTGTTAATCATACTCAAATATAAATAGAGAAAGCAATTAATTCTACCATATTCCTTCACGATGATCATAGAAGGCACCAGAGAACTATTCCTCTTGTATCTTCACTCAATAGTTCTTTTTTCTTTCAGTTTTGTGATTTAAGATGTTTTAGACTTTTTTTTTTTGGTATGGAGATATTGTTGGATTTGCTCTTTTACTAAAGCCCAAATGGGTCGTTAGTACGAGAAGAGCCTAAGAAACCTAGAGCCCAATGAGTTAGGGTTTTTTGGAACCCATATAAATAGTACCACTTAAGTCATTAGCCTCTATGGGTTTTTTGAGAAAAAGAGGCCAGCACATATCTGAATAATGCCCACACATTCCCCCTTCCTCCTCGAGAGATAGTTTGAAAGGTTTACCACAACAGTCCGTGAGTTCGTGTTGCGACGCAAAGGACTCAAGCGTGTGGAGCATCATCATCTCACATCTGCGCCATCCAACAAGAGATAATTGATAAAATGATCCTTATACATCCAAATCACAATGGACTTAACGCTTCTACATGATGCAATTGCTCCTACAATTGGTATCAGAGCAGGATTGTGTTTTTGGATGAGAATCTAGTTTTATTTTTACGTTTATCATGTATTTTGTTTTGCTTCGTAAAATATGGCACCTAAGGTTCTATATTTGTTATTCAAATATTTGCATGAGTATCATTATAATTCTTTTTATTAAAAATCTATTCTTTATATGGTTTTGGCTTTAATCCATGGTAGAAATTTTTTTGTATTTTCTTGGACTGTAATAAGGAGTCTAATCCCATATGATTAGGTTTTCTCCTTGAATTTTATTTCAATTTTGTATCTTTTTCAATTTGTATTCCAAAATTGTAATAAAAGAAGATCAAGAAGATGAACAAAGAAGCGCGTTAGTCACTGTTTTGACATATACGACCTCCGATCGAAAATACGAGACCGTAGAAAGATTCAGAACAAAAAATCGAGTCAAACGAAAGTTGAATCGCAGAAAACGAAGGCCGGACGCTCCCCCACTCTCCACCGGAAGTATCTGAGTGTGGGCTTCACTCTCCTGGGAAGAATGGGTGCGTGGGAGAGTGTGCCAGCTCCGTTTGGGGCGATTCTGGTGGCCATGGCTTTGTCTCATCAAGGCGGTCTTTCCTGTAAAATTTCGTATCAATCAGACATCATATGGAGGTGCAACAGTCGTGATGGCTAGGGTTCCTGAAAGTTGACTTAGGGTTTCTCGCCAAAATTTGGTATTTTGGGCCCATAGTTACCATAAAGAGGTTTGAAACAGAACCTATGGACTATAAAAAAAAGGAGCAAATCAGTCGCAAATTTTCCTATTTGATTACTCTGTAATTTTATTTTTTTAGGAAACCATGGATTAAAGTTTTTATTATAATTAATTGCCTTAATTGTATGATTGGATGAATTATATGATTGATAACATGCTTTATTGCGATAACATGTCATATAGAATAAATGGTGCCATATTGTTGCATAACTTGTATGATTACATGAACATAGTAGCTATTATGTCTTCAGCGACTAGTACGATAGTTATTATGGAATTATTTTGATTTTAAATTATCCTGAAAAATTGATTAATAATTATTATGATTTTTGTTAAAAATCTAGATTAATAATTAAATAAATTAATTTTGGATAATTTAACACCAAGAGAAATAATCGTTATAGTAATTATTTTGATTTCAAATTATCCTCATAAATGATAAATATTATGATTTGTTGAAATCTAGATTAATAATTAAATCAATTATTTGGATGATTTAAATCCAAAAAAATAATTTTGAAATATGTACATAACAAATTTAATAAATTAATGATCGTTATGGAAATTATTTTGATTTCAAATTATCCTCATAAATAATAATTATTATGATTGTTGCAATCTAAATTAATAATTAAATCAGTTATTTGGATGATTCAGATCTAGAAAATAATTAAGAAAATTTCCTAATAGCATAGTTTATTTTGCGAGTAATTTGTGGGTCTTCTAAAATGGTCATGTGTTTAAACACACGCTGATGATTGTGTGAAGCACACGCTGTTTATCATGACCGGATTTTAGGACCTTAATGATTTCAAAATTCAGATAAGCTAAGTGATGCACGTTCATCGGCGCTTTTACTTACATAGTTTTTGAAATCAAACAAAGGTTACTCTCATTCAAAAAATTCTTGGAAATTGGAAAAATTGCTTCTGTTGAATGAAAGGGGATTTAAATTAAGAAATTAATTTAACCTTCTAGCGCATTATAGGGTCATTAATAAAATAATCATGCGAAGCCCCATCAGATAAACATGATTGGATTTTATTAGATTGGACCTAAATAATTATGGGAGGAGATTTAAATTAAGAAATTAATTTAACCTCCATACGCATTGTGGGCCTATCAATAAAATAATCATGTGAGGCCCCAACGGATAAGCGTGATTGGATTTTATTGGACATTAATAATTTTAAAATTTTAATAAAGTATTGTACGTCCCATCGTTGATAATACTAAGTTATTAAAGACAATTTTGAAATTAAACAATGAATTCGACAAAGCTTATGAAAATTCTCAAATAAAAATATTGAGTGGGTGAAGGTTTTAAGCTTGAAAATTCAAACATGGCATAGCTGTCAGCAGTGGATATAGATATTTTAAGCTTGAAAATGGAAACTTGTGTCTGCATTTGTATGAGGACAAGTTATTTAAAAGACTATAGTTTTAGGTGACTGTTTATTTGTTTCGGATTTTAAGAGAAATTCAATTATTGTTAGTTATTTTGGTTAAAACATGGTATGACAATGCAATTGATTCCTCAGTTACATTTCGAAGTTCATCTTCGTCTTGTTTGTTCTGATACATTGTTTAAAAGTCTTTATTACCTATGTCTTATACCCCCTAAATTTATTATGTTGAATGGAAAAGATGATGAACAAGAACATTCACCAAAGAAATAAAAGTTTTAAATGAAACATAACTTTGGCCTTTGTGATTGAGTCACATTATCTCAAGTAGGAAACATGTTTTAGTTAAAAGAGGAACTAAAAGTTCAAGAATAGTCTTTGAACTAAAAGCTGCATGTAATTCCTATTTGAAAGGTGAAATGGCCAAGCAATCCCACAAGGTCAAAAGGATTTGCGCAACTATTCAACTGGAACTGGTACATACTAATGTATGTGGACCAATTAGCGTTCAAGCCAGAAGAGATGATGAGTACTTCATTATATGAATGTTTACTCTGGATTTGGACAGATGAACCAAGTGCGACATACATCTAAAGCTTTTGGAAATTTTCAAGAGGTTTAAGTCTGAGGCAGAAAAACATGTAGGTGTTCAAATCAAAACACTTTGGTCTGACTAAAGTGTTGGCTACTTGTCTGGTAAGTTCAGGTCTTACCTGGTTTAAGTGGGGACAATTTTCGTAACTGTCAAATCTAGGAACGCGTT